AAGGCATTGCATAGTATAGCATAGCATGGCATAGTAAAACATTGCATAGTATAGCATAGCATGGCATAGTAAAACATTGCATAGTATAGCATAGCATGGCATAGTAAGGCATTGCATAGCATAGCATAGCATGGCATAGTAAGACATTGCATAGCATAGCATAGCATGGCATAGTAAGGCATTGCATAGTATAGTATAGCATGGCAGTGTAACAGCATAACACAGCATAACATGGCATAGGATTCCATAACACAGCATTGAATGGCACAGCATAACATAGCATAGCATAGAACAGCATGGCTTAGCATAGGATAGCATGGCATAGCATAACACAGCATAGCACAGGAAAGCAGAATGACAGGGGTTCCAAACATACTTTGCCTCTTGGTCAATAAAGGCCAAAAAGAATAAAATCCATCCATCCATCCATCCACCTATCCACCCATCCATCCATCCACCCATCCATCTTCTACCTGCTTATCCTGCTCAGGGTTACAGGGGGCACAGAGGCGGGGGTATGACTGACCATCAGAGACAGCACACTGCACCTTGCCCGCAGTGCAGGCACACACCTCCTGCCCGTTCATCTCCCATCGTGCACCATCCTGCACCTCCTGCCCATCCCACAAGCAGGTGGACCTTCGGCACTCGCACAATTCAAGGTCTTCCACCCGAGTCTGCAACTTTGTGTTCTGCACACAACACAAGGACGCTTCAGCCACCAGACACAAGCTTGTTAGGTGAAGGTAAGTGGAACACTCTGTACCTCTATGAACAAAGCAAAATCTCAAAAAAGTCTCCTCAAGGTTTATAAAAAAAATTAAGAACAAATAGCAGTAGAAAACCACGATCACCAACGGCAAACGGCCGCCAGACACCCGCAGCAAATGATGTCTTCACACATTCACTGATTCACTGATGCTTCACCTGGGCTTTAAGCATGTCCACCATGACACGGAGTGTTTCCAACTGCTGCTCCAGCCTCTGCAGTCTCTCTTCCTGGCCACTGGGAGGTGCCCTTGATCCATGTGGCAACCCTGGAGGTCCCAGAGGAGTGCGCTGAGGCTGATCTTGCACCATGTCTGACTGCGGTTCCCAGTGCAGGCTGAAGATCTCTTGGTGGGGGCCATCAAGGTATGTCTGCGCAGATCTCTGACTCAGCATGGAGGGAGGAAGGAGGTCTGCAGAGCAGAATGGAGAAATGGAAAGAAAGGAAATGTTTCATTCCCTATATGAACACACAGGCCTGCTTCTTTAGTTCTCAAATGTCCCATCATGCTCAAATAGAGGTGAACGTGAAGCTGGTGGTCTGAGCACAGGGTCAGCTGTCCATCCAGCAGCCGAGGAGCATTTTATTTGCAGGGGGTGGGGAGTGGGGGTTAAGGGCCATACTGGTGAGAGCCAAATCCTGGGCACCAGGTGATTGACAATGAGGAATGCAGGACACGCACGCATATGCCTCAATATCTCTGAGGCCCAAGCTGACGAAAGACACCAAAAAGTGACAGAAGGGGGGCATTTCTGTGACCGAGCGGGAAGGTGGCACATATATGCATGTTCACGTTTGCATGAGAACAATCCACAGTGAGACACTGTTTCCTCGCCAACCAAACTCACAGAAGAGCCCAGGCTGCTCCGGTCCTGAACCCCACTTTACCTGATGCATTCTCACAGTGCCAGGGTCGTCTCTGGTATCCCGACATGGAAACTTCTGCTCTCTGCAAGTGTCCCTGAAAAAAGCCCATAAAGATGGACGTTTACACCTTTGATGTTCCGGGTAAAGTTATGCATGATAAACAAACTATACATGGGAATATTCATAATAAGTAAATGATGAATAAATAATGTGACATTGCGCAGGTGATCTTGGCTGCTCATCTCACCCGGGACTGTGTCAAATGCTCACTCAAGCATTTTCCATGTTAAGTCGGTTTATAGGACACTTTGCTGGAAGTAATTCTGTAGTGATGTGGCCCCCAGCAGTGAAACATTACACAATACACCAGTGTCAAATGGCGGAAAAGGCTAGAGCGGCCCCCGTTGGCTCTGTCGGAGAGTGTGGCTTCTGCGCTGGGCATTTCCAGCATTTCCTGCTGGGGGGGTGATTCACTCCCCCTCCAAATGCCCCAAGTCAGTTTCCCACATCAAAGCAAAGCATTAACAGGCTGTCTGCACGGAGCTCAATCAGGCAGACACGTCATTCTCACAGCCAAGACCCGAAAAGGGCAATCACAGCGACCCCAATGCCGAATGACTAATGTACATTTTTAAATCTATTCTAGCAGACACTTGTGTCAAAAGTGATGTACAAGAAGGCAGGGTCAATCAGCCAGTCTCCCTGGAGTTGTTGCTTGCTGAATGGCCCAGCGGTCTACCGAGTCTGAGATCTGACCCAGCGACCTACTGAGGACACGCTCGGTGCCCTATCCGAGTCTGAGATCTGACCCAGCACCCTACTGAGCACATGCTCAGTGCCCTATCCAAGTCTGAGATCTGACCCAGCGCCCTACTGAGAACACGCTCGGCGCCCTATCCGAGTCTGAGATCTGACACAGCGCCCTACTGAGCACACGCTCGGCGCCCTATACGAGTCTGAGATCTGACCCTGTGCCCTACTGAGCACACGCTCGGCGCCCTATCCGAGTGAGAGATCTGACCCAGCACCCTACTGAGCACACGCTTGGCGCCCTATCCAAGTGTGAGATCTGACCCAGCACCCTACTGAGCACATGCTCGGCGCCCTATCCGAGTGAGAGATTTGACCCAGTACCCTACTGAGCACAAGCTTGGCGCCCTATCCAAGTCTGAGATCTGACCCAGCACCCTACTGAGCACACGCTCGGCGCCCTATCTGAGTCTGAGATCTGACCCAGCGCCCTACTGAGCACACGCTCGGCGCCCTATCCGAGTCTGAGATCTGACCCAGCGCCCTACTGAGCACACGCTCAGCGCCCTAGCCCGCAGAGCCTGAACCTTCCGATCGCTGCCATGGCCACCTCACCAGGAACTTGCTGGCCTTCTTGCCCGGCATGCTGGCCAAGGTGATCTCCAGGTCCAGTGGCAGCAGCAGACTGAGAAGCTCCTCGCTCTGGCTCTTCTCCAACACGACGGCCTCCTCGCAGTTGATGAAGAGCGCCACCCTGTGCGTCTCCAGGCTGAGCGCCACGCGGGCCCAGCGGCCGCCGGCGAAGGGCGTGCCCCCGGGGAAGCGGAGGCTGGCAGGATGCAGGGCAGCTGCGGTGCGGTAGTCCAGCTGCAGCTGGTTGGTGCGGGTGCTGGAGAGGAGCCGGATCAGTGGGTGGCCATCCTGCTTCATGGCGGCGGGTGATACCAGCGAGATCAGCGTTCCATCCGAGCTCTTGGCCTGCTGGGCGATGAAGTGGAAGCCGATGGCGCCCTGCACAGAGCTGAGGAAGTAGACAGAGAAATCCCGAGGCAGGGTGAGGGGCGGGGCCCGCTGGTGCAGCCTCCAGGCTGGGACCCCGGGCTCCAGCCCCTTGGCCCTCGTCACACCCCTGATGGAGCGGGTCATGTTCAGGGCTTCCAGGAGGTCGATGACTGCAACCAAAGACACCGGAGCTGGTGAGCTCCTCAAAACGAAGTTCCAGAAGCTATCTGTCATCCCCACACAGCCTCTACAATGATTCAGGAGTCCAACACGGCCACCTTCCCCCCATCGCATTCCTGATGGCCAGGGCTGGCCGGCTCTTTTCAGCGCCGTAACCAAAATACAATAACCGATCTGTCATCTGTCATCCTCCTTCCCAGGATGATCAGATGGGCGCCCCCTGGTGGCCACTGAGCCCTAAGCAGCTGCTCACTTCGCTCATGTCTTGGCCTGGGCCTGCTGATGCCCCCCCCAGCTCACAAAGGCTGCTGTCAGAGCCCAGTTTCAGCAAAAAGATGAAAGATTACAGAGCAGCCATCTTTGGTTCTTGCCGGAGAAATTTAAAATTAAGATTAACTTTATTGATCACAGGGGAAAGGAATTTAAGACAGAAGAATCACAGGTATTTCACTTAGGAAAATGTTTTGGTGTTTTTTGAAATTGTAGATTATCATGTTAAAAATATGTTTTAGTCCCAGGTGCGTAAGAAACAAACTGCATCATCAGTGATACGGCCAAACAGCGCCGGACACCAAGGGCTCCGGATAAACGGCTGGTTCTGTGCTCAGACCCCAAGCGTCACTCCCACCTCTATGAGTGTCTGTGTATGTGTGTGATAAGCTGTGCAAAAAATGGGAAATAAAGCTTAATTTGAACTTCAATTATTTATCAGTCAGGAGGATGGAAAATTTGCAATGAGGCAACAACCAGGCCCAAGGAAACTGCATTTCACACATAACAGAGGGATCGCAGCATCAGCGCCGGAAACAGCCTCAATGGAGCCCCGGGCGTAAATCTGGGGCCAGAAAACAGCTGTTTACTCCCAGGGATGAGTGTGGTTTTCACGATCTCACAGAGGAAGTGTCCTCTTGTGAGAATTAAGGCATCATTTATTTTGGTTTCCATGCAACAGGCCAGAAACAGTTTGTAAACTCATATAAAAAAATAAATAAAGAAAGAACATTCAATGAATTGGTGAATTGAAAGAGGTGATGGCGTTGGGGAATCAGTAAGATCTCATGCAGCGTGGAAGAGCAGCGTGAAAGAGCAGCGTGAAAGAGCAGCGTGAAAGAGCAGGGCAGATTCCCTCGCAAACCACAGCAAATAATGTTTCAGAGTGGGGGGTGCACACGGCTGGGTGGGGGTGGGGGGTGTTGGTTCTGTGACGTGGTCTCTGTACAGTACCGCTCAAGTGATTCTTTCTATAAAGACACGGGTACGACTTAGAGAGACACCAAACCAGTGACCCTCAGGGTAAGTCTTTATGCTTAATGCACAAGGTGTGCCAGATGATGAAACCACACAAAACCACTACTGTATCAGTAACCTTTATAACAAAACATTTAGATTAATATCCGTGTTAATGGATAATAATAATAATAATAATAATAATAACAACAACAATAATAACAATAATAATAGCGAACAACCTGATTCCATATGTTCGATACAGAACAAAACAAACAAATAAATTAATTATTTTTGTTTGCATTCATCCAACGTGAAGATGCGTTACCGTTTTCTTCGTCGTCATGGTGTAGCAGGGCGCTTTCCGGAGCTCGCATTAACACGAAGAGAATGCCCAGCAGGGTGGCCAGCGCGCTTCTCCTGCCAGGGGGGGCCATGTTCTCCGCCGCGGATGGGGCTGCTCAGTAATACTCAGTGATGAGTCTCTAATTACTTTCACTTTGCGAAGAAAAGCCCGGGGAGTCGCCCGCCGGCTCCGAGCTGGAATGTAACAGCGAGACTAAGACTGGTCACTTTCAGATCTTTAACTTAACATGAAGCGTCTGGCGGACACCCTGTGCCCATCTAACTCGGCTTTTAACCGCGGCTGCTCACGGAGCTGAAGCGCATGGAATTTCCTGCATCCTGCCGAGATGCCCACAGATCCAAACTCCTCCGGCTCCTGCAGAACTTCTGCTGGGCGACCCCCCTCCAGATTATCTACCATAAAACACGGATCGGAGCGCCGGACTGGAATGGCGCCAACTGCAGTTGGGGAGTTTTTAAGAGCCTCAAAAAATGCTACAATTGCTTAAACTCTAACTCTTCCATGTATTCCGCGATTATTGCTAGTTTAAGCACATTTCGTATGAGCAAAGTCACTAAACTGCTCATTTTTAACAGTATGACTGCTGATAATTTTCTGAACCTACAATGTTACATTTATTGCTGCAGCAAAGAATATGTTCACTATTCATTCATATAGGGTAAATTGATAATAATCGGCCTTTTGTTATTTCATATTATTTTTATTTATGTTTATAATGTGTAGGATGTTCAGGAAGCACTCAGGGGCACAAATATAATAATAATAATAATAATAACAATAATAATAATAATAATATGCAAGCATATATAACCAAACATACTTTGCCTCTTGGTCAATACAAGCCAAAGAGAATAAAATCCATCCATCCATCCATCCATCTTCTGAAACCGCTCATCCCAATAATCAGGGTCACGGGGGGTCCATAGCCTATCCCAGAGGCAAGAGATTCAAGGCAGGGAACAACCCATCGCAGGGAGTGTACTGTATATACACTCCCTAGTACGACTTCTGGCCGCTACTCCCGCCGCGCAGCAGCGTAGCGTACGGACTCCCAGCATCCTAGTTCTTTGTACTTGCGTATACCCTTAAAATGATGTTGAATAACGACTTACGAACATTTCAAGTTACGAACGGCCGTTCGGAACGTATCTCATTCGTAAGTAGAGGAGCATCTCTATACGTAAGACGACCACGAATGTTTTATATGATAAAGATTTTTAGAGTCAAAGGCTGTGATCTATGCAATACGTGGATGTACGAAAAGTTCGATTCTTCTAAATTTGAAGACCGCTTCGACTGATTCACTGAAAAGAGCCGATTCAAATAAAAGATTCGTTCACGAATCGGAAATCACTATTGTACGCGGTGTTGTCACACGTACGTTGCAGCAGGATTTTTTTTACAATGGCCAGTAAAACGTATTATTCATTTCTGTAACAATTTACCGTAACAGTCATGAGGATAACAACACCTCTCCTGGTGACATCGTCTCTGACCCTTAAATCAGGCGCCAAGATAAGGCTTGGCTCCACTTGCCGCATGCCGCATATTCAAATCAAACAATCATCCTCTCCATAGACAGTCTTCCTCCACCCATCCATCCATCTGTCAATTGTCAGACCAACTTTCCTGGTGTCTGGGTGAACAGTTTATAAAATATTCACTGGCATTAGCAAGTTATGTTTCGGGGTATTTCTTTAATGATTATTGCTTGTACATGACAATTAAATTAAGCTAAATTAACAGTAAACAGTGCATTTTGATTACCCATATAAAACACATATCATCATGATACAATATCGTCCCTCAAGCAGACTTTTGCAGGTCTTCAGTAACGACTCATCCTTTTTCATTTCTCCCGGTCAGCCTGATTTACCCAGCGCGATACTTCCATTTCTCTCATTTAATTTATAAAGTATTTCACATTGGCCACATACAATTTCCAGAAGAAAATGCTTTCCATTTTGCTTTTACGTGTATTATTACTGGTGTAAATGTCCTCTTAGCAGATGTCTGTTCTGGTCAGAAAAGAATGCAACTAGTCTATACAGCATCTAGATGCACTGTGCAGGACTGAGGGTTCATTTGAAAGCAATCAAGGTTGTCCTTAAGATTTATGTACTTCAGGATAGAGAGAGTCACACTCACAGCCTGCTTTGTATGGTAAGATCCGGTTACGCGACAGGACCTCGGCGAGGAATGCAGGAATCAAGAGTATCTCTGCACAATCATGAAACACAACGAGGCAGCCCCTCTGTAGAAAACGGTGGGGCATTCTTTTTTGTGGCTTCTATTGAACTGTTACACCTGAAGTCAAGCATCTTCAAACTTTGCGTCCCTAGACTGTCCGAATGAAGAAGGCGTGGGTCCAGATATGACTGCGTCTACAAAACAAGTTACCTTCAGAAAGGGAGCTATGTGCTGCCCTCTGGTGGTTATGTGATGCAACGGCATGAGAACTCTTTCTCGGCGGGTAAAGATCACAGAGTAGTGGTGTGGCTATGATTCAGAGCTGATACTGGGTATCTCTCGGAAACATTGGGAAAGTGTAAAAATAAGCCAGATTCACTGTTAATAGCTTTTATTACATGGAAAAACATCTGTTTTAAATATATATTTTTTAAGTATCGAACAGGTTTTAAGTGTAGATAAACCTGTAAAGGTGTAGGCTAAGTGTTAACACTGGCAGTATGCCTGACAGTATTATTGGCTTTAATGTGCAGTGTGTTGATGTTCAGTGTGTTAATGTGTTAAGCTCCCTGTTGTCCCAGACCATGGTACAAGCATCGTTCCCGCAATCAGCGGCTCCCCTGAGACCCTTCCCCCCAGTTAATGCGCAGCCAGCCCTTTCGGTGTAACCTCGCCCAGAAGCTGCTGGTTATCTCCTCCTGGAAATGCCTCTTAAGCCCCCTCTGTCCCTGGCGTTCTTAATGATGTGAAGGAAGCCCGCCAGCTCTCTCCCAGGACAGCTACAAGCTGCAGGACGCACGCCCGGCCGCCGAGGGGAACCGAACCCACCTCCGCCGACTGCCGCGGTCCCGTAAGTAACGCTGCGCTGTCGGTCTGTCTCCGTACAGCCGACTAGGCGCCTGTCTTTGATTTCTTCCTGAGAAACAAACCTAACAACGGAATTCGACGTTCCGGGGGCTTCACATCCTCGATGCCTCGTTTTCTTTATGATGAGTTTGTTCTGGATTAACAGCCGTCACATATGGGGAGCATCTCCTAGAAGGACGGACGCTGGTGCTTTTGAGTACTGAAGTATCACTTCTTTCAGTTAATGCTATCAAATGAATTCTGACGCTGTCACAACAGACTGGTGCTTCATAGCGCAGAATGTCACCATTCTGTACAACCTGCATAAGGGGAGTAATCAGCACTAACTAGGTTCTTTGTGGGTTAATAACTCAGGAATTCTGACCAGGACAAATGCTTTCTTGTTGCTGCTGGACCTATTCAGGGCATCGCTCTGACTTATTCAGGCGGTAATAAGCGAGGAAACAGCATTAACCATTTTAGCTGAGACACAAACACAGCTTAATACATGTATGAAACGTACACACAGATACAGACAGACAATCCATCCGAGGCTGTAAACTGCAAGAAGACACAAGGAAACGTCATGTATGTAATTTTGTATGCTGTTATATGAGTACAAGGTCTACAAAATAATCCTTTAATCGCACACCTCTGTCTACTGTCAAAATTAGCACGAGATTAACCACTAATCCTTGCCAAAGTTTGTGTGCACATCATTCACCAGCCGATTCCCTCACGTTTCACTGCAGTCTACATATAGAAACTGCGCTTGGAGACTTTTACCATACATGTCTCAACCTGTCTGCTGCGTCGTGGGGAAAACGCACATAAAATAAAAAAATATATAGCCTTACTGTGATGCCGCAAGCTTGGTGGGGGGCTAATCTATTCACAGACCGGCATGCATTGCGCCGTACTGTATATAGTCTAAATACTAGTGAAAATAACGTCTGTAATGTATAATTATGTCAGTGACTGTATGTGTTGCATTCTCGTGAAGTGACTAATACAGTGTTCTCCTACTGTGGTGCGTTTGTAATTTCCCCCTGATGGTGTTCGATGTGTGTATTGGTAATTTCCCATGTTCATGCTGTCGCTAGTATTTTTCAGCAGTTGTTCACGATCAAGTATTTGTGCAAAAGCGAACTTAAAAAAAATATGTAAATAAATTTGTAGAAAAACTTGGAAAACCCAGCGAGTGTGGAAAAGATGTCATAAAGTTATAAGTCGTTAGAGCTCGAAAAGCCCATTTTCATGGCTATTAAGAAGATCTAACACAAATATTGAAAATATTGCAAGTCACGCTGGCAGGACACAGTGGTGAAGGAAGTCTGCCTAACCAGCATCATCGACCCTTGCATCATTGGACTGGACTTGCTAGTCCACCTGGGGGCCGCCATCGATGTGCTGGGGGCAGCCCTCTGCCTCGGTCCAGATGTGGTGGTCCTCCAGTGCGACAGTGGCAACCAGCAGCAGGGGAAATGTGGAGAGGCGTCTGCAGAGTGGGGAAGACCGTAGCCAGCAGCTCTCGTGGGAAAGTCTCTGCCTGCGATACAGCCACAGCTCCAACCCGGACCGCAGAGAACAGCAGCCCTGGGGCTACCTCCTGAGATGGCACAAACTGTCCAGGAACTGCAGCAGAGCAGCAGTTAGGACCTGACAGCAAAGCTCAAAGCCCTGCTGAGCCCCTCTCCAGGACCAAAGACTGCCGGCCTACTTCCATGGTACAGCACCACATCGACACGGGGGATGCCCTGCCCCTCTGTCTGCATCCGTGCAGACTGACCCTGGTGAAGCGGCAAGCGGCAGAGCAGCACATCCAGCAGATGGCAACGGTGGGAGTCATCAAGCCATCCGACAGACCATGGCCAACTTCAGTAGTGCTCAACATCAATAAGGATGAATCATGGCGGTTTTGCATTGACTACTGACAACTGAATTTGGTGACAAGAAAGGACTCATATCCACTGCCACTGCCAGGGTGCGCTGGATTACATCACCGGGTCAATGTGGTTTAGCACCTCAGACCTCCAGAGTGGCTATTGGCAGGTCAAACGGGCTCTGGAAGCCCACCCCAAAACCAAGTTCACTATTAATCAGGGGCTATGGCACTTCTGCTGAATGTTTTTGGTCTGTGTATTGCACCCACCACCTTCTAGAAGCAAATGAAGTTTGACCTGGCCTAAGTCCCCTGAATGCAGTGCATCGGCTACATTGATGATCTACTGGTCCGCTGATTTCACCGCAGCACAGAACCTAAAGATGGTGATTGCGGCGATCTGTCAGGCAGCGTTGCGGCTGAACCCCTGGCAGTGTTTCCTGCTGGAGCCCCCGAGCCTGCACTCTGCTATGTTGGGGCCGGGCACTTCGGGTTGAAGAAGATTCCGGGGAAGCTGTGCCACGCTTCTCCTGGCCTGGCTGCCGGCAGGACACCAAGCTGTTTGTGAAATATTGTGAGTGGTGCACAGCTCAGTAGAGTCCTAGCCAGCAGTCCCGGGCTCCCCTGCAGCCGTACCTGGGGGCTGCTCCCATGGAGTGGGTGGGGGGTCGACATCCTGGGCCCCTATCTCCACACCGCGGCCAGCAATCTCTACATACTCCTGCCTATGGATTACTTTGCGAAGTGAGCTGCAGACCCTGCTGGAGCTGGTGTTTAGCTCGCCCCCTGAGCCAGAGCTGCCGGCAACGCCGGGACTGGGCTACCTGCACCAGCTCCAGCAGCATGTGAGGATCGTGCAGGAGCTGGCCAGACAACATCAGGATGCAGCCGTAGCCAGACAGGAACAGCATTACACACGCTGGCCTGGTGCCAGATGCAAATAGTGTAACTAGCTCTGTGTATTTAACATGTTTTGTCTCGCTATTGAGCCATACGTTAATGTCATGTGCAGTGTTTAATGTTAATAGCTGTAAACAGTGTTGTGTGTGTGCCCACAGTGGGGCGAGTGGGTAGGTGGGCATGGTGGGCAATGTGTGGGGGTTGAGTGGTATATGCTCCGTAAAGCCACTGTGTGTGTGTGAGCCACAGTCTCGCACTACGTCTCTGCGTCATTCATCACACATATTGCCATGTCTGGCACTATTGCCTGCGTCACAGTATCATTCTTTGGGGCTCTGTACACCTTACACTTCGTAATAATCATGAAATAATAATAGATGAAATCCTCATATAAATCAAAATGACACAGACTCTATAAATGCAGTTGATTTCACATTACATGTATGGTTTTCTCTTGTTTGCTGGGTTACCTAAAATGGGAAAGGTTCCAGATGGATTTATGAGCTTTAGCAGAAGCTCAGGCTCAGGCTGAGGGTGTGTCTTCTGCATCCTCAGCTCACACCAAACCCCACACCCTGACCCAAGCATATTAATAGCGAACTAACACAGGCTAATGCGTTTAAAGAGCTTGGGGACAGACCAAGGTGGGTGGCAGGGAGCGTGTAAACAAAGCTAAGCTATCCAAGTGCTATTATTCCACTGACCTGCCTCTGTTTAAGGGGAAGCCATGAAGCGGGATGCCCGCCCATGGACACTGATTCTGCAGAGCTTCTGCCAGATTCTTCTGTGCCAGATGGTGATAAATATCAACCAGCAAACAGTGAAAGGTGATCTCCACGATCACACCACACCTTACCGGGCCTCTGCGCTCATGCATGTCTTAACATTCATATTTTAGCCTGTTAAATTAGGTGACTATAAGCCACCAAACTGCCAAATGTGATCTCTGCAATCACACCATGAGGCCAGTTTTTATTTATGCAGGCTGAATTTAAATGTCTTTTAATTATAACTTCTTATGTACCTCAACTGATGCAAAATCACACGCGACATAAAACCAGATAGATCGCATATTCTGTGAATTTAAATATAGCCTACTGAATTTTATATTATTCTCTACAGAAGTGAATATTCTGTTTTAAATGTCATATGTATTGATTTCAACAGCAGGCAGCTCATGCCTCGGAGGTGAGGATATCTTCGCAGCGGTCAGGGAAAACAGCCCAGACGGACAGTTCATAGCCAATCTCAGCATCGCTGGTGACCCCAGGCCCAGCGGCATTCGCTTGGCTCTCAGCGGAGACAGTGCCGACTGGTTCTCCCTGGAAGGGAATACCATCAGGCTCAACGCATCTTTCTCGAGGGCTCTGGATCGAGAGGTAGCGTGACATCTTCAAGGTATAGGTGTACCCAGCACATTCAAGCATGTTCTCCACCTAGTGACCACTATGATCTCACCAAAGGTTCATGGATCAGTTCTAATGGCGGTTTTGTCCTGCTATGAAGGAGAAACCATACAGGTATGCCTTTCAGCAGCAAAAGCTATTTTATACCTTTAAACATAATTAGCATAATGTATTTCGTTATAATTCTTCTCGCCACCTTTTACACAGTTTTCCAGTTAGTTTCATTATATGTATTAAATAAATACATAAATAAATGTATTAAATGTATAAATTTTTTTCTAGAGTGAATACAGGATCATGGCGGAGATCCTCAATGAAAATGACAACAAGCCAGTATTCATGGAAGAGACTGTCCAGCCTGTGGCCGTCAGTGAGGTGAGATCTCGTGTGCTGTTCCAAGGATATGTAGGGTGCGGGGTGGTCTAGGGTCATCAAGAAAGTTCAGGTGAAATTTCCCATCCCTAAGAGGATGAGAGCATCACCATGTAAGTTTGGGGTTTGATGTGATCTGCTCTTTTTCAGTTGGCTGCTGTGAACTCTGTGGTGTTTGTTGTGAAGGCGGTCGATGCAGATGAGGACACCATCGTATATGTCATTGACAGGTCTTTGGTATGTGTCTCCCCCTACTGGTCATTAATGCCACACAATCCCTTTGTGTCACTGTCTAAATATGGCTTTATCTCTGAATAGCCAGACTCCAGCTACTTTAGGATAGACCTCCCCAACAGCGGTGACGTGATCTTATCCAAGCACCTGGACTACGAGACCAAGACCCAGATGCAATTGGCCATTTACGCCGTGGTAAGCCTCCACATATGGTGTTCATGTGACACTGTATGTCCCAAACATGGTGAAAGTGCTGGTGCTGTCAGCTTACCATACATCCCGAACTCAGGGAAAGTAATAGTACTGTCGACTTTTTGTATATCCCGCACATCTGACAGTAACGATACTGTCAATGCTGTACATCCCGCACGCTCTGACGGTAACGGTACTGTCAGCTTGCTCTTATTTTTATCACATGAAGGAGATGAACACCCCAGAAAAGTATAACACTTCAGCGACCATCATGATCAATGTGCTGGATGGAGATGACCAGTACCCACAATTCCAGCCATGTGTACCCCTAACCCAGGATGCCGTGCACCCCATCTGCACCAACCCCATCTACACTGTTAACGTGACGGAGGCACATCAGGTACCCGTTTCTTTGAACATGAAATACCACAACTTGGTGACCAGATGGCCAGCATCAAGAAGTTCAGCAACAAGATCTCATTTGCTCTGAGTATTAGAATGAAACAGGGATTGCTGTATCTCCTGCAGAACATCACCCTGCCTTTTTCTCCTGGTCGAATTCGTGCTGTGGATGGAGACAGAGGACTGGATGCACCCCTGCTGTACACAATTCTGTCAGGTATCATAAAAAAGCCGCACCAGGGTCTTTACCTGCTGAGCACATTTACCTGCTGAGCCACATTTCCCTGCTGAGCCACATTTACCTGCTGAGCCACATTTCCCTTCTGAGCACATTTCCCTTCTGAGCACATTTACCTGCTGAGCCACATTTACCTTCTGAGCACATTTACCTGCTGAGCACATTTACCCTCTGATCCACATTTACCCGCTGAGCCACATTTACCTGCTGAGCCACACCAAATGCTCATTAGTGGCTTATGTTGGCTGAGGAAGGCTGGAGCAGCAGCCCATCGATGTGTGAGCTTTCAAAGGCATGAGGCAGCTGCACTTTCCAGAGTCCCTGCCTGACCTCCTGACTGGTGGTACTGGCAGCCACCTTGTGGGCAGGATTATGCCCATTGATTGCCCTGCCTGGTCTTATAATGAGACCACTCTACCGGGTGCCCTATTGGAACAGGGGCCAGTGGGTTGGCACTTGTGTTCGCAATCAAAAGGTGATTGGTTCAAATCCTGGGGCCTGCAGATTGATGCCACTGTTGGGCCCCGGATCAAGGCCCTTAACCTCGATTGTTTCAATGGTGCTGTACACTGGCTGACCCTCTGCACTTTTACCCCAAGCTTGCTCTCACCTGTCTGTATACCTGTCTGTATACCTGTCTGTATATCTCAGGGAGAGCAAGATGGGGTAGGTGAAATGGTAACTTCCCCATGAGATCAATAAAGTATCACTATTGTTAAATAGATTCAGATGTGGTCTCTCAATCTAAATGCCATTGAACTTTTATGGGAAGGTCTGGAGCACAGAGTAGATTTGTAGCTCCTTCATTTCTCAAAGAACTGGAGGTTTTTCCTTCTTGAAGAATGGTGGCCCAATTCTTATATTATTATATTAATATAATTGTATTAATGTAGGTGTTTCCGTTATTTTGCACAACATTTATTTTTAGGTGCTGACGATGGCTGCTTTCACATTGATAACCAAAGTGGAGAAGTAACCATGTCTAGACTGGCAGAGCACAGACTCCTGATGCCAACGTTCCAGCTTCAGGTCATGGTGAGGGCGACACACTCCAGTTACATCATCAACACAGCGTATTAAGACTCTGCGATGACTGATAATAAATATCAGGAGATGTACACAGTTCAAAATAAGACAGCAATCTGAGTGTGCCGGACTAGGTACAATCTGAGGTAGTACCACAGTGACACCTTTGTTGGTATGGTAACAGTATCCAGTCTCCACCCGCAGGCCTCTCAGGTCGATGACCCCAGGAAGTACACCATCACCTCGGCAGTGGTCCGCGTTTTGGCCCAGAACCACTTTGCCCCGCAGTTCAACAGCAGCACCTATGTCGGCTTCGTCCCACAGAGCCGCGAATCGTCAATGCTCGTCTCCACCCACGGAAACCAGGCATTGCTGCTCCAAGCCATCGATCGCGACTTCCAAGATGTACGTTGTGGGAACTCTCCATCTTTCTGTTCTAGCAGCAGATTATGATGTATCATATTGGTTTTGATGGAAAACCGACCAAGGAGGTCCGTTCGTAAACTGAAAACGAATTTCTCAAATTCTGCCATGTCAGGTGACTGGTCCTGAGTGTTAAACTCCTGACGGGTAGGGCTGTAGCATGGCTATCCAAGCTGGTTTTTATTGAGAGCTTAATAACCCAAAGCTAACAACAGCATGCTCTGGTCCCATCTGATATTATTCTTTTTTATATCACAGCAGAACAACTACAGCATATGGTCACCATGTGAACACACACCCCAGCAAAACACATCACACATTGCTCCAAATTCATATTTTGACCCCCACCCTCCCTGACTAGTTCCTTTAGGTCCTAAAATGAGGTCCTAAAATGAGGTCCTAATGTATGTTGTGTCAGTCAATCAATGTCTCAGAACTATTACCAAATGTCCCTACAAACCTGTTATTCTTTAGGGAATAAATCCCAAGGTTCACTATTCTTTGTGGCCAAAGTCAAACAACACAAGATTGTATCATATGACACAGGAAGGCTATGTCATCGCCAAGGGCAACCTACTCCCAGCTTCGGAGAAAGTTTTCCTTGAGGTAAGGAAGGTGAAACCCGAACTACATTACTGAAATTAGCATGAAACATCCTATTACTGATACTTCGAAGAGGAAGGAGGTCTCTCGCACCTCACAAACAGACAAGCAAATAATGGTGGTGCTTTGCAGGTGATCGCCACAGACCAGGAGTCGGGGGAAGTTGCTAGGGCAACAGTGGAGATCGTGGCTCTCCAGAGAGGTGAGCGAGGTAAGGCTCCAGATGTGTGGGAGTTGGCAACCCTGAGCATAGAACAGGGGCCTCTATCACAAAGGTGGATTTCTTGCTTACCCAGATAAATCTGACAAGTTAAGGCACCCTAGTTTAAATGGACTTTATCTTTGTTCACTTACATTTAGCTCAGACTTCCTTAAATCCAACAAGTTATCCAGCTAAGCAAGAAATCCTGCTTCATGATACAGGCCACCCTTTGAATTTTCTGGGTTCTGATTGACAGAGCTATAGACCAATAAAGAGCTGAGATCCTAGTTCCTGGTCCACGGCGCCATGTTTGTAGTCCCCAAGTGGCTTCACTGAGGGCAAAATTCCAGCATGGGCCAGTTGCGGAATAGGGCTTCTCTGACAAAAACACTTATATCTCAACACAGATTTATTCCCGAGACTCTACAGCAGGGGTGTCAAACTCCAGTCCTGGGGGCCAGAGCCATGTGTAGCATAGTTCTTTCCCTGTGCCACCACAAATGATTCAGCTCAAGAGCTGTGTGGTAATTAGCACAAGGAGTTGAATCAGGTGTGTTAAATGAGGGGAAACCCAAAAATGTGTAGGGCTCCAGCCCCTCAGGACTGGAGTTTGACACCCCTGCTCTACAGAATCCAACCATACCCAACTGGTCCTAAATATCCCCTGGTAATCACTGTAGTCTGACACCTAACGTGGCGTCTGTGGTCGCCAGCGCCTAACGCCGCGTCTGTGGTGACCAATGCCTAACGTGGCGTCTGTGGTCGCCAGCGCCTAACGCCGCGTCTGTGGTGACCAACGCCTAACGTCGCGTCTGTGGTCGCCAGCGCCTAACGCCGCGTCTGTGGTGACCAACGCCTAACGTCGCGTCTGTGGTCGCCAGCGCCTAACGCCGTGTCTGTGGTGACCAACGCCTAACGGTGCGTCTGTGGTCGCCAGCGCCTAACGCCGCGTCTGTGGTCGCCAGCGCCTAACGTCGCGTCTGTGGTCGCCAGCGCCTAACGCCGCGTCTGTGGTCGCCAGCTCCTTGGAGCCTCTTTGGGGGGCAGAAGCGTTACACTCTGCATGTGGACGTGGTGCTGGCTGGCGGGATCATGGCAGCGGTGTTGCTGCTGCTGCTGGTCACACTGATGTTTCTGCTGCTCTGGTTGGTGAGGCGTTGGAGGCAGCAGCAGGACGTGGCTGCCAAAGACTCCGTGGCACAGGGGAAGCACCGTAACGTGGTAAGAGAACTGAGACGCCCCACACACTTTCCGACAGGCACATTACAACGTGCTGCTCAGCACAAACACTCAGTCCAGCTTCCTTCTAAGCAGTCAGTGGATATGAATAGATCAGGGGTGGCAAATCTTATCCACAAAGGACAGTGTTTGCAGGTTTTTGGAATAACCTTTAGGTCAGCTGTTCAAACTCAGATGTGAGAACTCTTCAGCCAGTCAGCCCACTAAGTAGTGATCTAATTAGGGAGTTTCAGCGAAAACCCGCACGTACAGCGGCCCTTTCTGGATAAGGTTCCCTGGAATAGAATAAAAATGGACACAGATTTAAAGTCATTACAAGCAGTTCAATACAAACAGGACCGACGTGCACTTTGAATCCTCACTCATGGCTTTTCCATTCCTCTCTCCACTTAGAGCTTAAGGTGGTTCCAGCTGGTGAGTTTGTGGCTCATAATCTGCCTTTGGGAAGGAGCTAATGGTTTACTGGTGATATTGTTATTAGTCGTGCAGTATACTGGTCATCTTAAACCATCAAACAAGGTTTATGGAAAACAGGGATGTGCATCTCCATCACTGAGGTGATGGAGATGCACATCTCGATACATTGGCAACGATCCAGTACATCAAAAGCAACTATTAACGGGACCCGTGATTCACCCCTATTGTGATGAAGTGCGATTTGACCAGATTTTTTAAGCCAACACAATGCGATTCAATGCAATACGACATGATGCAAAATAATATGATGCTACGCAATTCAGTATGGTACAGATATTTTGATTTTCTTTGGTTCTTCTTAAGCAGACAGAAAATCATTAGATAAATTAAAAAAAAAGTGCATATACTAATAATTATATATTATTAAATTGGACTTTACAGATGCAAAGATATTAGAAACAATGCATCCCAAGTTCATCTCATCTCATCTATATCTGGTGCACACGTTTTTAATTGGGTCAGTTGCATTATGTACTTTTATGCTGGGGCACCGATGCACGGCAGTGAATCTTACCATCCTCGATGGAAAATGCAGAAAAGGTAACAGATGACATGATTTAGTCGTGACAAAAAATAAACAAATTTGTTGGCTTAAATTAGCCTAGACCATTAGCAGAAACATGAACCTGGATCAGATGGACAGTATAATTGCTCTGCATTGCTATTGTGACTTTGTGTTTGAAAGTTATTTCCGCCAGGTTAGGTTTGCATCAGCTCCCTCCTACACCTGCTAAGGATGCTTTTAGTATCCTTCTTCAGTTTCATGGGAAATGCTATCTGAGAGTCTTTAACATTTTTTCATTAAAAGGTAACTTCTGGAAGGCCAACACCTTACATAGAGGAAATCTCCTTTTGCAACGAAGCGTATGAGGACTGTGAATCCTCAGGCTCCGTGGGACGCGGTCTCCACAGGAAAAAGCCCGGCATCCTGTGCAGAAAGACCCAGAGAAACCACAGCGACAGCACCGACCTGCTAAGAGACAGTCAGTCCCTGTGTGTGACAGCAGAACCACTACCCATACACGTGCCTCCATCAATCATGTCCAATGGGAAAACAGCAGACAGGTCGAGCAAATCGGTGTCATTTGTGGACGATGTCACGCTGAGGCAAATAGGGACAGTAGAAAATTCAAGGAACAGGAGTTTGGAGGTTCAGACGGTAGAGTCGATGTTTTTAGGTGAGATCCCGCAAGCGCTGTGCGAAACAGAAGAGGGAGATCGATCTGATGAAGAGAGGGAAGCCAAAAATCTGTACCGGATAGTGTATCCTGTCATTGACAAGGAAGAGGCGACACCTGGGGAAACTGAGAACCTCTGCAGTTACAAGCATGACCAGCGGGGGGACGTGGCCCTGGAGGGCTGCCCCGAAGCTTGAAGAGGCAGCAGCGATCAAAATCCAGTCCCGAACACTCAGATGGTGCAGCTCGCCCAGGAGGCTGCGGTTTCTCATTAAGGCTGATGAAGGAAAGCCAAAACAGTACAGAAACAACAATTCTCATTCCAATATAAGTCAAGGTTTTCAATACCGATCTAAACAATGTACATCTTCAGGAACTATGAATCTGTATGTCAAATTGTAAACAATGTGGAAAAGGTCTGCATTTTTCATACATTCTGTACATTTTTATAATTATTGGTACTTTCATATTTTGCCACATCTTGCTCTAGAAGGTAAATATATGAGTGGCATAGATTAATAGTTTAACTGATCCCTATACAATAAAACTTTCCATAAGGGGAATTATATCATGTTTGCAATATTTACTGCCTTACCATGTTAATGGTCTGTGTGATTCAGCATTAATGCAGGAAAAATTACATTTGATAAAACTGTAGTAAAATTGCGAACTGATCTGATGTAAATCTTTAAAACACCTTTAATCTTTATATTGTTGAAGCATTCAGGATTTACTGAGCTGATGATGTACCAAGGCTTCTATCTGTAAATTGTGAGTTGCTGGCTTATTCGGTGCCAAGCGACGTATGAAATGTGAGGTATACGAGGCAGGATTGCCCATGCAGGCGGCGGAGGTCCATCTACAGCTCGACAGCACACAGCCGCCCGCCGGAGATGTACAAGCCAAAGAACACCCGGAACTGTTATGTCCTCATTTCAGCTTTATTGTTCATGAGGTGGCTACATCAGATGGAGCAGAATGTTAGAACACCCCCTCGGTCTTTTGTCAGCTACCCGCTTCATGATTTTAAGAGGAGAAAAAAAACAAACTAAATAAAAATAAACCACGCCAGAGTTCACTTGATAGTTACAGTTTAGCCTGGCAATCAAAACTGTAAAAGTCCATCCATGGCTGTAAGGGGCCTAACCTGCAGACCTCGGTCTCCACACCCCTGCCTCTGTCTCCACACCCCTGCCTCTGTCTCCACACCCCCGCCTCTGTCCTCGAGGCTGGGGCTGCTGTTTGCTGTGTGTTGAATTTCTATGGTACAGACGGCAAACTAAAGCCGCTCGTTCACCTTCCCCCCACACGTCAGACACCTCTTACAGATTCTCCTACCAGGCACATCCACGTTCAGTCCCGTTACGTCCTCGGCTGGCTGGATGCAGACTTATTGGCATCGTCACGGTCGGAATTCTCGTATGCGGCCCCCCCCAGGAAAAGCACGGTGCCCCTTGCGGTGATTCCCCCAGCTGGGGCCCTGGGGGCATCCTACTGGCGTGGCCCCGCAGGGCTGATGCACGTCCTCCCCCCATTTCATTGGTACTCTTCTGCTTCACTGCTCTCATCTCAATGTCGCCAACAAAAGATTGTCCTGAAATTTGGGCACAGGGTGAAAATTAAGTATTGAAACATTTTTGCTGTAAAAATCACATAAACAGAACCCTAAAATGACCAGGCCGCTCAGTGTCCTGTCACTAGCCCAAAATGCTACTTTCATTACGTTACATTATATTTTGCAAGTGCTTTTTTCCAAAACAACGTTCAGTTTAGAGAGAGCGGGTCAGTCAGTCCCTGGACCAATTGGGGGTTAAGGGACTTGCTCAGGGACTTGAACCGGCGACCTTCCGATCACAGGCACAGTGTTCTAACCCCCTGACTCACACATTGCCCCCCTACACAAAGCTGAATGAAGTGGGGCCTACCTACAAGCTCAAACCTGGAACCCAGGTCACCTGGCCCCGTGCCCCCTGCTCCTATCAGAGGGCCGAGGCTCTGCCCAGCTTAGTCGCCTCACCTGGTGTTCTGGCAGAACAGGGGATGTGGCTACCGGTACAGCCGGGTGAAGTCTCTGATGGCCCAGCAAACTTGCTTGCATTCTTCAGCGCTACAATAGGACAAAATGAGCCAGCATCACTCAAATGTAAAGCCAAGACATAGGCGACGAATGTCATTGAGGAACAGTGTGGCTCGGGCTGACCCGGGGCTCGGACCTGGTGACCTGCTTGTGGAAGTCCGTCAACTGCTTGTGCGTGACAGTCACAACGCCCCCTGCAGTCTCCTTGGGGAGTCCTTTCAGTGTGTTCTCCAGCCAGCGGCAGAATGCCTGCAAACGTCACGTGACGCGAGTCACACACCACAGCAAAACACGGCAGAACGGAACTTGTAGGGCTACAGAACCGGCACTGCTGTAAATCTGCTCGTTCATCACCTCAAATAACCGCACTGACCTCGCGTGCATCTCTGCACAGCTTCAAACCACATTTAAGTAGGCTTCAGTTCCACAGATATGCTTCCCTGTCATGGCCTGCAGTGGATAAGTTAGATCTAGCAGGACAGAGACGAATCCAAAATTTGTGACTGGGAATTAAATCTCAAAATGGTGCCACTTTTAAGCCGGCAGTGAGCTGAACACTGAAGCCTCCTGGCAGGTTGTGTGGACAGACACCGAGTGCCCACTGGCTTCTCCGAGTGCCCCCCCCTCCGAAGGGAAGCTGACTGACCGGCCGCTCAAACAGCATCATCTCAAAGTAGACCTCGGCGACGTCCGGCAGGGTGTAGGAGGGCAGGCAGAAGCAGCAGGAGTGCAGAAGCTGCGTGACCAGCTGCTGGCCGTGTTGTGCCAAGGCCTGCGAGATGAACTCCTTCCTAACGTGGCAGTCCTCCTCGCGCTGGGGAGGACAGGAGTCAAGGGGTTACGCCGACTGTGGCTCACAGCCTCGGACGACCCGGGGCGGGGCGGGCCACTCACGTCACGGGCGACGCCCGAGTGAATGAGGTCCCTAATGAACTTCATGACGCTGCAGTTGGCATCACGGTGGTCCAGTGTGAAAGCGGCGATAGCGCACTGGATGATGTGGACGATGACCAGGCTGTTCATCAAAGTGACGGGACTCCTCTGGATAAACCTGGGGGGGGTACCAGTGGGACTGAGCACCTGAGCACACCACACAGCCTCTGCATAATGCTGGGGGGGGCTAGGGGCTGGGGGCCACACACCTCGTCACCAGCCGGAAAAGGTCGTCCACAGTGTCTGGGTGATTCCGGAGGCCATTGGGCTGTTCTAGTAGCTGGAAAGTCGGCACACATAATGCCTGCAGGTGGGACAGCCTGGAGATTAATTACACTGCTCCCCTCCCCCCCCAAGACCAATGGCCCAGTACACGTGACCCCATACACAACACAGGGCCTGACCCCACATACCCCAGCTACCCGTCACATGTCCAGCAGGCCATGGGTTTGTGACCCCACTCACCCCAGCTACCTGTAACATGTCCAGCAGGTCCTGGGTTTGTGACCCCACTCACCCCAGCTACCTGTAACATGTCCTGCAGGCCATGGGTTTGTGACCCCACTCACCCCAGCTACCCGTCACATGTCCAGCAGGCCCTGGGTTTGTGACCCCACTCACCCCAGCTACCTGTAACATGTCCTGCAGGCCATGGGTTTGTGACCCCACTCACCCCAGCTACCCGTCACATGTCCAGCAGGCCCTGGGTTTGTGACCCCACACACCCCAGCTACCTGTAACATGTCCAGCAGGCCCTGGCGACAACCATCCTCCATGCCATACTCATCTACCAGGATGCTGCCCAGGTAGAGGAAACAGGAGTGGGGATACTGCTGATACACGCCGACCATCTATGAGGGGACATTAAAGGAGGCGCTCACTGTGCTGTGTGTGCTCAGGGCTAAGGCTCAGATGGAAGGACAGCGGCGGCCCTACCTGCGTGACCAGCGGTTGCAGCAGTGAGGCAGAGCCCTTGCCCACGCAGCGCACTGCGAATCGCAGACAGCGGCAGCACCGCTCCACAACGCGATTGTCAGCCTGGTACTTGTTCAGAGTCTCTGACAGCACGGGCCAGATCTGAGGAAAGTACAGATGGTTAGCATTACCAGTCCTGTATGCTGGCCACATCACTGGTCACTGGCCACACTGCACTGCTACACTGTACTGCGGGCCAAGGCCACGCTACGCTGCTACTTTGTACTGTGGGCTAAAGCCTGACCAGGCTAGCTATGCTAAGCGACCACTCTGACTCAATGTTGTGCTATACAGGAGTAAAAAAAGGCTTACTTCTTGAATGACTTTTTGACAGGGATGTGTCTGCCCATTCTCTACTATGGGATTTGTGTGTCTGGAAAAGCAAGACATTCAAGGAAGGAAAAAAATAAATGTAAAATAGACTCTGGACAACAATTTAGCCACCAAAAATGTACAAGCTAGCCTGCAAACAAAGAGCGGTAAGGACATACCTGAAGATCACCGCTAACCTGTCCAGCCAAACCGTGGGGTCAGCAGATTTACCATTGCTGGTCTGCTGAGCAAGCAGCTGGGGTAACAAAGAGAGATGAGCAGGCAGACCTTGGCATCCTGCCCCCAAGAATGAGCAGCTCAGCATAAGGGTTAAACCCACCATGACAAAAAGGAGCACTGACCTTTTTGAGGACCATGACCTGCAATGAACACAGGTCACTCATGCATTTGGCTATCTTCTCCAGTGGAAGCCTAGCTAAAACAAAGGCTGTTCCTGCAAGACAAGCAGAAA